ACTTCGATTCTCAATCCGTTTACATCTAAGTAATTGGACATACCTATATTTCATATTTGCTACAAAACGAACTAGTGAACTGTAATTTTGTATGTAAAGGTGATTGTGAATGGTAATATTAATGTTGGGCGTTATGGTGATTGCGATTTTTTATCACCGGCGGGTGAAATATCCCTAATCGCTATTTATTTTGAAAAAATCTTTGGAAAAGCAATTTACCAAATGACGATGCTGCAGAAGATGAACTAATTGAAGTAATTCGGGGTTGAAAGTAAAAAATATTATGTAAATCTCATGCGTTGAAATTAAAAATTTCTATTGTGGGTTTCCATTTTATCGTAAGTGATTTTATTTTATGTGATTTATTTTCATTTATATAGACTGGCCTACATACTATATTAATTTTGTATCGTTATCGTCTTCATCTTTCACAAAATTACACGGTCACCCGGTTTGGGCTATTTATTTAATTTTTTCAAATTAATTTTAATTCTTTTTATATAAAAGTATAACTCATTGTCTAACAAAAACCTTATACATACATCCAAATTTGAAAGATTGAAAAAAATCAACAAAGTATTATCAAAATTTTACAGTTTTATTCAGAATTTAAAGACATTTTTCGGGTAAACATTTTTGTAGCTCATTCTTCTAGTTTATTAGGGTGCAATTTTGAAGTATCTAAAAAAATACCGCTTGGTATTTTTTTGTTTGTTGACGGTGTTGCGCACTTTCTTTCATATAACGAATGTCCGCACTTTATTTTAATTTGTTTTTATTTAATGAAATTTTCGAAATTTAGATTTACTTGCATAGTTTTTTTAGCTTTACTTTTATAAAAAAAAAAATAACTAAAACTAATTTGGAAAAAAATAAAATAAAAAACCGGGTGAGCTGTTAAAAATGTGGAACAGTTTAATTTGGTGGAACTTTCTGACAAAACCGGCTATGACGTTATGGGCTAGTTGAAGAGATCTCAATGATAAGGTACGTTAAATTAAGTCTACACCAACTGAAGCTGTACAATGAATTGAACAATAAACACACTACAGTAGACAAACGAATTGTTTTTGTTTGGTTGAGGGAGGTAATGTATTGACGGAAATGGTGAGAAGTACTATTAAGCACAAAAAGTTAAACTTTTTGTCATTAATTTAGTACAATTTAAAAATCTTAACAGCCGTATTCTAACAGTTACAAACCTTAGATCATCACTGCTGTGATTTCTACTACGTCTCAAAGTTCGCCTCTGCAACAAATTTGCGCTACAACACAAGTTTTTAAGTTTTTGTATATTTTTATAGCACTTAAAATCGATTTTTTGTGGCACATTTTTCGGCGCAGTAGAAAACCCCAACAGTGATGGGCTAAGCTTTGTGCCTCTGTTTGAATAGAGGGGTAAATAATATCAACACTGGCCTATACTCGGTAGAGACCAAAATTGCCGACACAAATAAGGGTTAGTATATTTTCAGAATGTTCTTGTTTTGGTGGGAATTATTCATAGTACTTTTTGGAATTGGTATGAGTACTCATTTCCACGAATTGTTAAGGCTCATGACTAAGTACACCGATTTTATTACACTGTACAGCAGTTAGCTGGGTATTCGACCAAACCAACTTTTTTAAGAGGTTGAGGAATAAGTAAAAAATTCATTTCTCCGTTTTTCGAAGTTAGCCTCCGTTGGGTCTTCGAAGCTCGAAATTGGACCTATTGAAAAAAAAATTACTTTTAGTTATTATATGTAAACTAGCCAATGCCCGCTTGCTTCGCGGCGCCTAATCAGATCTTTTGCGTTGGCCAATACAAAAATAGCGTTTAAAGGCAAAAGCGATATGTAAAGTGAACGTCTTTAGTTTAAACTGAAACGACTAAAGAGCAGAATCCTCCTCACACATAGGCTAAGAATAGTAGCGCTGTGATACCATATGGAATACTAATCCCTTTCGATGTCATGCGTTTTACCGATGGTCTTATTTCCACCTGTGAGATCTCTGCCAAGCGTGCGTAATATTCTTCTCTGATCTTGCAACTTCAACAATGATCCGATGTACCATGTAAGCCAATAAAAGCCCTTATAAGGAAAGTAAAGAGCACAGATGAGCGTTTTCAGTTATAGGAGGGCTAAGAATCCTCCCACATTGACTAAATGAGTCGTGTGATCTCTTAAATATCGTTCATATGAAGCCATTGATATACCTACCGTGTTCCTTTTCTTACGGATGTGGTCGAATCTTTCCTTGGAAATTTACCACTTTTACAATTTACCTTAATATTCATGAACTGGTTTCTTTGAGTCTCACTACCCTGCAAAAATCGCGACTACTCCATGCATGCGTGTAAAGAGTACTCCCTAAGGACTAAGGAGTACTCCAAAATTAACCACAATTCATATAAAAAATATGGTCCAATTATCATTGCGATGTCCTAGGGCAGGAGTGGAGTGGTCAATAAATGGAATTTAATGTTCATAATTCACTGGAGCCTTCATTTCTCAACCGATTTGATTAATTATTTTTTTAAATGAAAGCTAATAAAATTTGCAAGAGACTAGTTGAGCCCAATTTTCGAATTTTTATTTGTTTGTATTAAATTTTTTAGTGCAAAGTGCATAAATTGCGCCAATTTTGAAAAAGACCGATTCTCCTGTTCCAGCTAATAAAAGATTCATAATAAAAACTAGTTAAAAACAATTGTAGGGTTCTCCTAAAACAAAAAATTACTTAAAGCGTAATAATTTGAAATGTTATAAAAAAAATGTTTCCAAAAGTATTTTTTTTGANTAATAAAAACTAGTTAAAAACAATTGTAGGGTTCTCCTAAAACAAAAAATTACTTAAAGCGTAATAATTTGAAATGTTATAAAAAAAATGTTTCCAAAAGTATTTTTTTTGATTTTAGTTTTTATAAAAATTTTGGGTATGCAGTTTTATAGATTACTAAATTTTAGTATAATAAAGTGCAAGTTGCAAGTCGCTAAAAACTAAACTAAAAACTAAAAACAAAAAAAATACTTTTTGTAACATTGTTTTCATAACATTTCAAATTATTACTTTTTAATTTATTTTTTGTTTTAGGAGAACCCTACAATTGTTTTTAACTAGTTTTTATTGTGAAACTTTATTAGCTGGAACAGGAGAATCGGTCTTCTTCAAAATTGGCGCAATTTCTGCACTTTGCGCTAAAAAATTTAATACAAACAAATAAAAATTCGAAAATTGGGCTCAACTAGTCTCTTGCAAATTTTATTAGCTTTCATTTCAAAAAATAATTAATCAAATCGGTTGAGACATGAAGGCTCCAGTGAATTATGAACATTAAATCCCATTTATTGACCACTGTGCAGCGCCAAATAGCGGGTCTATTTTTCGCATACGTATCCAATTTTGTCGCTGTTGGTATCACAATGGATTCCAAACTCAATTTCAACCATGATATTAATGTTACAGCCAATAAACCCAAAGGTGTTTCTGCATTTGTAAAGCGATGGTCAAAAGAGTTCAAAGATCCTTAAGTTACAAAAGCTCTTTTTACCACTTTAGTTAGACCTATACTAGAATACGGGTCTATTGTTGGGAATCCCCGCTACCAAGTTCATTCAGAAAGGATTGAATCAATTCAAAAACAATTCTTGCTTTTTGCGTTGCGCGATTTTAACTGGGATTCAGACTACAATCTCCCCCCCTTTCACTAGTCGTCTAAAGCTCATAAATTTGCCTACACACGCAAGTCGTAGAGAAATGCTAGGTATAATATTTATGGTAAAATTAATGACAGGCTTGATTAATAGCCCGGCCCTTCTCGCTGAGGTAGATTTTAATGTTCCCTCTCGAGTGTCAACACACTTTCGACCTCTATTTTTGAAGCAATGCAAAATTAGTTTTGAACTAAACGAATCATTCCGTGGTTAACGAAGTTAATCCTGTTGCCACACAAACAGTCGCAGCATACGCGTCTTGGCACCCACGTCACTGTTGACAGTTACAAGTTTGATTTCGTTTATTTGCGAACCAGAATTAACAGCAATAATAATGTCAGAAATCCAACGGAGAATCACACTTGCTAACAAGTGCTTATTTGGACTGAGTAGGCAATTGAGAAGTAAAGTCCTCTCTCGTCGTACAAAGATCACACTCTATAAGTCACTCATCATGCCTGTATGGCTCGGAGGAATGGCAATGAAAACATCTGATGAGCGGATGTTGGACATTGCGAGAAAAAGATTCTGCGAAAGATTTACGGACCTTTACCCGTTGGCGATGGCGAATACAGCAGACGATTTAACGATGAGCTGTATGAGCTTTACAACGATATAGACATAGTGCAGCGAATTAAAATTCCGCTGGCCATGTCGTTCCAAAGGACAGAAACGCTCCTGTTTTGAAAGTATTCAACGCGGGCCGCGATGTTGGTAACAGGAGAAGAGGAAGGCCTCCTCTGCGCCGGAAAGACCAGGTGGAGACGGACTTGGCTTCACTTGGCATTTCCAATTGGCGTCAGTTGGCGCAGAAGAGAAGTGACTGGCGGGCTGCTTTGGACTCGGCCAAAATTGGTTACAGCGCCAATAAAGAAGGAGAAGTGGCAGAGCGTGCAAAGGAGCGTGCTAGTATTTGTTAGCTTTCATTTTTTATTTTCGAACCATAAAAAAGCAGTGACAAATATACAAATATTGTTAAGCGGTATTGCCATTTTGTAAAATTGTTCGTGCTTGTGAAGCTTTGTATTTCCTATTTTGGTTAAATTTTAATATTTAATTTAATATTCGTAACTTTAGTGGCTTCCTGGCGGTATATAACTTACTTAATAGCGAAATTTCTGCTTAATTCTGTTTAGTGGATAAATTACTTTTACAAAAGTACCAAACCTTCACATTGCAGACAACGAATTTTTAGATTTTTGCCCAATTAGGCGGCACTGTGCGCCGGGTATTTAGCATTCGGCATCGCCCAAACTTAGACTTCTTTACTTATTTTACTTAAAATGATATACTTATACTCACTTTCCAACGTGATTTGGCGAAGTTCTTCTTAAGTTGCTCAGAGACGGTGCCATGAATATTTTTATTACTCGCAGCATTGCCAGAAATCCTGTTAAAAAAAGGGGAAAACGTGTAGTCCTTTATAAATATTCTTCAGTGTCTAAAAATAATTAAGAATAAAGATAAGTAAAACGATGGTACAAAANACCATGACCTTAGTTGGACGTAGAAGAAATTTCATTTGAATTTGATTCCTAGTTGAGTTAAAAATGGCAACCGAGCTAGAAACGAGACAAACCATTTTGCACGAGTTTATAAATGATCCGGCCTTAAGTACACGTAAAATTGCTAAAAAATTAAAGAGTGCACTATTCGACAGTTTGCAGGGTTTTAATCGGTACAAATAAGGCCTGACAGTTACGAGAAAACCAGGGAGCGGGGGTTAGCATGGTCAAAGTGATAAAAACAGTGCTCGGAAGGTCCTCAGTGCGTTTTCGCGAGATCCGAAGATTTTGTCGCGTTATGTTGCAAAATCCGTACGGAGAATGCAGTTTTTCGTATAAAAGGTAAAGCGGAAAGCTTCATTGAGATGTTATACAGCTCAAACAGCGCCAGACAGAGGCGCAAAGTAGAATGTTACAGCGAAATCCCGCATTCGGAAGTTGTATGAATTCTAAATTAAAAAATACAACTGCATTGTTATGGACTGTGAAACCTACTGCTATAAGAATTCAAAATATATTGCAGGTCAAGATTTTTATACTGCTGCAAGTCGTCAAGATGCCCCTGAAAGTTGTAAGCTGAAAATGAAGTCCAAATTTCCAAAAACCACATGGTTTGGCAAGCTATTTGTTCCTGCGGCCGTAAGAGCTGCACTTTTTCCCATCCGGGACAATGAATGATCAAGTTTATCGGGATGAGTGCCTCAAAAGGCGTCTTCTGTCATTTATCAACAGATAAGGAGTAGGCCATCGTTCTAGGCAGACATGGCAACCTGCCACTATGCCAAGGACACATTGCCGTGGTATAATGCAACATCAATTTTGTACCTCACAACTGCAATCCACCCAATAGCCCAGAGCCACGTCCTATTGGGGAATATTGGTCAATTGTCAAAGGAATCTTGAAGAAAACAGGTGAAAGAGTGAAAATTATTGAAGAGTGCAAAACAAAGTAGTTGTGCGCATCGCCTAATGTCGATGATGCAGTCGTGCAGAACATGATGGCGCGTGTGCGATGAAAATACCAATCACTTGCATATGGAGCAAATAATAACTAATATTTTAACATTTTAATAACATCTAAACTTCCAAGTTATATAATACAAAAAAAAAATAATTGCAAAGCCTTCTAGTTTGTTTCTGGTAGTAATTTCTAAGTGTCGCAGTTTTGGTGTGTTCACCCTTTAGAAATGATCCATAACTTGCAAAACATGTTTCGTTTCCACAAAAATAAAGAGAACACTATTAAATTGAAGAAACAGTCCATGTCCAAAAACCCCGGAGGAACATATTTTGAACGAATTCGGAATATCTAAGGTGGAAAAGAAACCAACCTTCTATAAGGAAACAATTATAGGAAAAGAATTTTCTTACACTGTATTCATGCCTCCGCTAGCAATTTGTGATGACATCATTTAAAAGCAGCTAAGGAGAACGACGACACTATTTGTTAGATGGCACATTCAACGAGCCAATGTGCCAAAATGCGGGTATAAACAATTATTGGTTATTTAATATCGGAACCGAGATCATATAAGTTAATTGATTGGTTTTCACACACTTTTGAAACACAAATTATATGCCTTTGTACTGCATACAAGTTGTTGCCCCAAAACACAGCGAAATCTTCCAATCAGGGCTGCCAACTATCCTTAGGGGAAATGTTTAGTAGCGCTCACATCGTTTTTGGGGTGGGGCGCGGAGGGGGAAGGGGCGGGCCCCTCAAACTCCCCTCACTAGAAAGAGGACAGTCCCCGCTTTCTAAAAAGGCGAAGGCCCCCCTTGGGCTCCTCCCGCAGGCCCCTAGGCAACCGTTTGAATAAGGGGGAAAAACGGAATTTTCTTAGGCAAACTGAGCAGTTTGAAGTGGAATAGGACCCAACTAACAGAAACCGTGGGATTTTTTGATAAAAGAAATTATGCCAAATTAGATATCGGGCGATTTGAATAAAGAATAAAAAAGTTAATTAAAAGTAGAAAAAACAAGTTTTCATAAAAAAAATGTTCTTTTTAACAAATGTATTTTTGCGTAGAACTCCTTTTTGCGTAGGCAGCCTTCGGCCGCACTTAGGGGTTATAATCCTCAGGCAGTAGAATTCTTCTTTCTGTGTTGCCAAAGAAGGGGGCTGAACACCTTTTACAGATAACACCTTTCTGCGTAGGCGGCCTTCGGCCGCACGTAGTCCCCTTTCAGAGACGTCAAGTCTTGCTTTCAAGTCTGCTCGTTCGTTGGCGAAGGAGGTGGGAAGAGAGGGGAAGAGTACAGATACCTCCGTACCGTCAATTCGTTTCAAGTTTCTTGTCTCTTTTGATCTTTTCGTTGCTTCCCATTTAAGAACCAAGGACTTGAATTCAATTAAAGTTGACGCATGTGGAAGCAAATAGAAAACACAAAAGAGAATGCGAAAAAAAATGCTTTCAAGACTTGACGTGTCTGAAAGGGGACTTAGGGATTATAACCCTCAGGCAGTAGAATTCTCCTTTCTGTGTTGCCAAAGAAGGGGGGCTGAACACCTTTTGCAGAGAACACCTTTCTGCGTAGGCGGCTTTCGGCCGCACTTAGGGATCATAACCCTCAGGCAGTAGAATTCTCCTTTCTGTTTTGCGAAGAAAAGGAGCTGAACACCTTTTCAGAGAACAGCTTTGTATAGTTTTAATGCTTACTGGGTTATATCCTGTCTTCTTTTGTCTCTCATTCTTTTGCATATTTTGGAGTTTGACAACTGAACTCCGCCATTTAACTTGCATATGCAACCAAAGTCAGACGCGTGATTTTGAAGGTGTTTTTATTTAATGAATTGTGATTAATTGGTTAATATTAAAGTCGTAAAGCAAGTTATAACTAATCGAGTAAAGTGTAAAGTGAAGGGGAATACAAAAATGTATTGGTTAAGTGGCTGCTTTAAGGAAAATAGGAGTGATAAATGTACGCTAATTTCCGAATTTTACAAAAAGGGCATATTTCAAACCCAATTTGTAAATAAATTAGTGACCAAAATTCACAAAAGTGAGTGTTAAAATAATGCGTAGACCCTTGACTACAAGTGTGTGGAATTTTTTTTGGATCGGACCACCCCTTTGAACGGAATAGCCCGAAACAGTTGTGAGCGCTACTAAACCCCACCCATCCTTAGTTATGCGTTGCCATATAAAGTAAAAAAAAAGTGCCAAAATGTGCCAAATAGAAAAATAAAAGTGCCAAGAAAGGTGTCATTTTTTTTGGCCTTTTAATCATTCACATTTGGCAATAAAATAAAGCCACATTTTCAAAACAGAAGTGCAATGATAAAATAAGATAAACCAGTTGAATAGCCTTTACAAATTAGAAAATTTTAGTTGAAAAAAAGAAGTGCACGCAATGGATTTCACAAAACTGAATTGAAATGTTATTTTTTTTTACAAAAGTGCCATTTTGGCACTTTGTGCCAAATTGAAAAATTAAGTGCCATTTGCAGTGATCGGACTTCTACCACATTGTGGTAGATCTACCAATTTTTGGACCATCCACTACATCTACCACAAAAGGTCTGAAATCTACCACATATTCGCATTTTTGAGTATGTAGTTATAATTTAGCTCCACATGATTTTATTTATTTATTTTTTTTTTAATTTTAAGGGCCAAAACGCTAAACACTATGTGATAACAAGTAGATACACGATATCGAACTGAAAGTATCGATATAGTACTCATTTAAAGTATCGCTGAAAAAATATCGGCTACCCATTAATATCGTAATAAAAAGACTCGATGTTTCAAATATCGATACGAAATTCGTTTCCTATTACAGAATTAACACTTTGCACTTTAATAAGTACATCACGGAAGGCACGCCACATTCTGCGCTTTAAAGCGCAAAATATTTCCATATTGCATAAATATAAATTCCAAAGTAAGCAAGGTTATAGCACGACATAGATTTGCAAGAAAGGCTAAGGCTAAAATTCATGTTTTCTTTGCGTTCAAAATTTGTTTAAAAACAATATTAACTACAAAGCTTTCAATAGAAATTTAAGTACGGTAACGTCACCTCAGATACTTCGGCTGATAAAAAAGCAGATTTTACATTTTGAAATTTTGAAAATTAACTTTAAATATTTCAGATATTACTACAAAAAGTTTTATACAAATAGTCTTGTCCAATTCCCAGAGTTTTAAATTTTGACGTTTTCATTTTATTTTTTAACATTTTGTCATACAAATGTATCATTATTCACATTACCTTTGTTTTACGGTTTGATACGATACAAGGGTTCTGGTACTCGATTCCAAAAAAATATTGTTTGAAAACTATCGATATCGAAAGGCAAAAATATCGGTATGGTATCATATCGTATCGAAATTCGTGTCTCTAATAACAAGAATGATAGTATACAAGATTTAGCATTCCCGGCGGGGAAAAGATTTCTCTAGTAAAAGTAAACAAACCCGAATGGGAGGAGAAAACAAACTGTCAAACAGTGAATTTTCTCAATTTCTCAATATTAAATTTTTAGTCCGGAAACGTGATTTTATTGTTTTAAATTGCAAAATATAGAACTAATAAAGAAAATGTAAAAAATCGGCGACTTTTGTGAAAGTATTAGCACATTACAGTGTATCTAAAGTTTTTAAGGCGTGGTTTACTTTTACTTGAGGATTGTCAAAATCGGCGAAACCCAGGTTAAAAGTTTTTTCCAGTCTAAAAATAATTAAGAAAAAGATAAGTAAAACGATGGTACAAAGAAAGTCACGAAACAACATGAAAATATGTTCAGTATAGTTCCGTTTGGTGACAGGTAATAAGGTCAATGGAAATAAGGTCAATTGACTTTATTTCCCACCCTGGTACGAAATAAAGTCAGTTGACATTATTACCTTTTCAAAAGCGAAATAAAGTCAACAAAAA